TTCATCTCTCTTATATGAATTTCTGTGATTTGTTCTGTTTTTAGCTTTAAATTGTTTTTTGTGTTAAAGATTTTGTAATATAAGTATTCCGCTAAAATAAAAACGTTGGCATAAATAGAGAGAAAGATGCTTCATGAAAAGAAAATAACTTAAAGTATTTTTGAAGAATCAAGCAAGTATTAATGGTTAATATTTCATATTTATTTTTCACATTTTATTCTTTAATGTTTTTTTCCGTACAAAGTACGGGTTCTAATACTAGTATTTGATGAAATGAAGAAAATTTGAAAACGAGTAATGAAACTTAGTAAGTTAAAAAAAAATTACATTTTCAAAGAAGAATAAAACAAAGAAGAAAAAATATATGTTAAAAAAAAAAAAAACTAAATCAATACTATTAAAAGGAAAACGAAAAAGCAGTTGACATAAAACCAAATCGAATTTGTTGATGCCTTGTCCTCTGTTATTATACCGTCTTTGATTTCTCGTTTGATGTGGTGTCGATCACCGATGTCACAACCACTTACTAAACCAGTCTTGCATGTTTGCTGATGAAACTGTTTTTTTTTACTCATTTACCATTGAAACACTTACACAAAAACTGACAGATTAATAAGAAACTTTAAATAAAGGAAACTAAACCAGTCTTGCATGTTTGCTGATGAAACTGTTTTCTCTTTCGTTAATTGGTGTTGATTTTTCTATTTTCCTCATCTCTTATCCATAGAAATGAAATACTAAGTATTTTTGTTAATAACTCTAAACTAAAAAAAAATGTCACTAATAAAAATTAATGATAATTCTCGCGATGAACGAAGTACATTATTTTCTCGAATTACATTATTTTCTTATATAGGATGCATAAAATACAGAGCTATTGCATCTTATTGTTTTTATTTTGTTGTTGTTTGGAAAAGGTCTAACTCATTTTTTTGTGCTAATTGAAGCGATAGAGGAAATAATATTTTTTACCAACATAATCAATAACCATTTGATGTGTATTTGCAGTGTACTTTCTGAGTTAAAACTTGAATATATATATATCACTGTCTAAAACTTCCTTAAGAGTTACGAAGCCTTAGCAAAATATAAACCCTAAATGTTATGAATCATCATAAGCTTTAAGAAACTTTCGCAATATTTTTGTTTTGAACAAAAAATTATTAAATTTATACCTTAAATTGTTACTAAGAAATCCTAACTTGAAATCTTAAAAACCATCGTAAACGGTAAACCTCATCGAAGTTAATAAACTTTAAACTCTAATTACAAGGACATATGTTGATCGATTTAATTAAAAAAAAAACTCACTCGTTGATTGAGAATCGACTCTTCGATCGATTGGTTAGGTGAAAATAGAAAAAATGATGATAAATTAGGCTATACTAAACTAATTACAATAATGACATGACAATATTTGTGAGAACGAACAATGGCTGATTTATGGAGGGTTTATTGTCGAATTGATAAGAAGGTAATCAGAGCATCTCCATTGATGTTACCCAACATAGGTTTTTTTAAGAATAGTTTAGTAATTTTTTTTGGGGAGAGAAAAAAACTAAAAAATTTATGTGTTTTTGCTGTCCATTAGTGTTTTTCTAATTTTTTTTTCTAAATTTGAAAAAAAAATAATTGACTACTAACCGTCCGCCATGCGTCTTAAAAGACAATGTCTTTTGCTCTTTAGCGAAAATGGGCCAAACCTAATTTTTTAATTCCTTCTGCTTATGAAACCAAGCCACAAAACTGTTTAAAAACCCTGATAAAGATGTTCTTAGCTTCTTACAGCATTCGTGGTTAAACTCGTTTGTGCATTTTTTCATATTAAAAAAAGGTTTGTTTGTATAGTTTCCCAACTAATTTTGCGTATAAGTTGTTTTTTTGCTTCCACTGGCTTATGTTTTGTTTTAGTTTCCATTGACTTCTATAAACTATTTAAACCGCTAGGTAAGCCAAATCTTCTCTCCGTATTTTTGGTCTGAATAAAAGCTGATTCTTCTCTAATTAATTACAATAATTATACATCATGGTTCCATGCATATTGTATTTTTATCGACAAACTAATATCTAAATTTTCAAGTCGAAACAATATAATATATACTATGAACCCGTACCACATTATACTTTATAAATAACATAGTGGTTGGAACTTGGAACACGTAAACAGCAAACTAACAAATAAATTGAAGCTTCGTTTGTGCCGTAGTAAATGATAGATACTACATGCAATGTGACCAACACATCAACATGTGTCTTTCAGTTTTCACATGCTCACACAAAATAAAATGAAGACCCAAATAAATTATTAACTTGGAAATTAGTATGTGCTTTGCTTAAGTCGTTCTTAACTAATTAGGATTTCACTTAATTTCGATTACAAATCCATTTGGTTTTGACATCAGACTTTTTTAAGATAAGATTAATCAGTCGAGGCCGAAAATTCGATAAAGCAAACATAATTTGAAAAAAAAAATGAACAAGATAAATTGTAGTTGGAACTTGGATTGGAGCAATGTTGACATTTGATGCCACCGAGTTTATGCTTATTTATATAACAAAAATAACACGACATTAGTATAGTGGAGATATATTTTTGTAATTTCAATATTTTTTTGTAATTTCATAATTTATAAAAAAACAAAAAAGGACGTAAGAAACGTTAAGAAAATGAAAACAAAACAGGGACGTAATAATTTGTAAAATCATAAAATAAAAATAAAAATAAGTAGACGTGCACGACAATCATATATTAGTCGGTCTTGTCAACGATCCCCACATAACTAATTTATAATGCATTCCGTTGACAAAAACATAAAAATGTTTCAGTTACACTAAGATATGTTTTGCGCACATAACACGTCAGATGTTTCTAATTAGCTAGCTATTTATTTTCCTCAAGTATCTTTAAATACCAGAGGTTTAAAAGTAAGCTTAAAATACTGGGACGAAGTAACTTAAGTTTAAAATCATATGTCCAAGTTCAATTTTTATTAATTTGAATTTCAATTTATAGCTGGAATGCTAGTAGAACTTTTTAACTGTAGCTTACATTTTTGTGCCAATTAAATAAATAACATCATTAGTCACACGACTCACACCCAGAATTTGCAAGGAGGCGAATATTTTCTTTTTTATCAACTGTAGTTATATTATAGAGGCATGGATTAGGTTTTTCATATGCATTTAGCATTTTTTATAAAAAAAAGTAGAGAAAATATACTCAGAAAAATCTCTCGTCAAGTTGGAATAGGCTTGAAATTTCCTCTTTTCTACATCTGAATTTATTTCATATTTTTTTTTATCTTTGCCCGCTAACTGTAATCTGTATCTGTTTTGGTATTGCGTTAAAAAACACATTTAAAATCCGTATTGGTAATACTTTGTTTCTATATTTATAAAATAAAAACTTGTGGACCGGTGACGATTTCTGAGTCAGCTCAAATGCCATGTGTCGAAAGGCATATGTCATGGTGGAGATTTTTCTAGGTTCCCATAAAAAAAAAAGGAAAAGTTAAAGAGGAACAATAAGTATCGTAGAGGTAGAGTCAACTCCACAGTTTACAGATCCACCGTTGGATCCAACTTTGGGTTATCAACGGTCCAGATAATAGTTAACCGGAAACATCCGGTTACCGAGGTGGTCAATAGTTCTGTGTTTAAAAATAAATGGGTCCATGTGATTTTTTTTGTAATATACTTTTTTAGTCAGCTTTAAGTTTTTCCTACTTTGTCGTTATTCTTTTATCGCTGTTCTCAACCAAAGACTAGTAGGCTATACTTTTCGAAATAGTCAACGATTGTCGCTGTTATTATAACATTTAATTTCTATTAATGATTGTTAATTGTTCCACAATATTTGAAGATTAATTAGGTAAACCAAAACTTAAAAGTCAAGAAAGGGTTGTTTTTTCATTTACTAATTTCCTAGTCAAGACGTTTTTAAGAAGGCTAAAACAGGTTAGAAATTCTTGTATATAATATCGGAATTATAGATTGAAGTAAAAGTCTAGCAACTCTAAAAAAGTCGAACAAAGTCAGTGCTTTTTTTTTTGTCGTCAGTCAGTGCTAATTTCCTAGTTTACGTAGTGTACCTTTTTTATGTTTTACTAACTAATTTTTTACCGTAGATTAGGTAAACTTCGGTAGAATTAAAAAATTAACTATGCACATTTAAATTTAAATTTGTCAATATGTAATTAAGAAAAAGGTTAAGTGCGGGTCCAATATTTTTTTCTGTCAATCGGTATATATATTTTTTCCTTACAATACATATGTTTATATATTTTATTTCTTGTCTTTGCATTACAACAAATTGTAATAATTCTAGAAATACACTGGAATAATAAAATTTGCACAGTATGGACAAGTTGGACGTTAATTGACAATAAAATAGCCGACAAGAAATTTGACAATAAAAGAATACAATTAATAAAAAATGAATAGTGCCCAAAAAATACTTGATTCAATCGGAGAGAGACATACAATATAGTGCAAGTCTGCAGGAAACATAAACTATAATTTTATCAAAAGTCAAATTCTTATATATTTTTTTACTAAAATTAAATTTTCAATTTTATATATTAAATTTTATTCTGTCAAAGCTATTGCACATTAGTATGTAAATAAAACAATTTTGTTCTGTTATTTCTTTAACTACCAATCCTTTAAAATGATTTTTTTTTACTTTTTTTTAAAAGACTTCCTTTAAAAACGTTTTTTTTTTCCAAATTCAATTTAACGCACTAATACCTTTATTTTAAAATCACGATTTTAAAAAAAAAATCTCGCTTTGCACAAAAGGGGACCCCACTCACCTCAAACTCGAGGAGACCAAAATATTTGATTGCTTTATTCCATAGAAGTCTTCAACTTTAATCTCAACCGTTAGATCAAAACTCTTGATTTGACTAAACTCCACCAATAACCTACTCATCCGGTCACCCGGTTCCACTCCATTCCCCATATATCACGCCATTCCTTCTTCTTCCACTTTCGCTCTGTCATCCTCCAAAAAAAACTTCCAATTTTCTAGATCTTCGATTTTTTCTTGTTGTTTCACTTTGATTCCTCATTATGACCGTCGATATTATGCGTTTACCCAAGATGGAAGATCAAACGGCTATACAAGAAGCTGCATCGCAAGGCTTAAAAAGCATGGAACACCTGATCCGTGTCCTCTCTAACCGTCCTGAAGACCATAACGTTGACTGCTCCGAGATCACAGATTTCACCGTCGGCAAATTCAAAAAAGTCATCTCTCTTCTTAACCGAACCGGTCATGCCCGGTTTAGACGCGGACCGGTTCATTCCCCTCCTTCATCTTCTTCCTCCTCCGCCGCAACCGCTCCTCCTCCTCCTACACTCGTTTCTCAGCCGCAGCCTCCTTCTCAGATCTCTTCTCCGTCGCTTACTCCGGCGAGCTTCGTTCAGTCACATCAACAGAGCGTGACGCTGGATTTCACAAGACCAAGCGTGTTTGGCGCCAAAACCAAGAGCTCGGAGATTGTGGAGTTCGCTAAGGAGAGTTTTAGCGTATCTTCAAACTCTTCCTTCATGTCTTCGGCGATCACCGGCGACGGAAGCGTCTCCAAAGGATCTTCGATTTTCCTCGCTCCGGCTCCGGCGGCGCCTGTTGCTTCCTCCGCGAAACCACCGCTTGCTGCTCTTCCTTACAGGAAAAGATGCTTCGAGCATGGCCACTCCGAGGACTTTTCCGGCAAGATCTCTGGCTCCGGCAACGGAAAATGCCATTGCAAGAAAAGGTATTGTTACGTCACCATAAATAATAATAATTAAATGATTAATTAATTTCCGGCTTAATACTTACTGAACCGGTGTGGTACGGTTTAAACAAATCGGTCAACGTAGTTTGGTGAAAATCAACGACAATAACTTAAAACCAGATTGCACGCTTTACAATGGCTAGTTAGTGGTGGTGTTGTCGTTTTGTGTTTAAGTTTTTCAAAAAAGTCTTTGGTTTGACCGTTGACTTTGTTTTCGTTCACGTTAGCCTGGCAAGCGCACTTTAATAACGATTAATTTTATTTAATTTAACAGCAGGAAAAATCGGATGAAGAGAACCGTGAGAGTACCGGCGATAAGTGCAAAGATCGCCGATATTCCACCGGACGAGTTTTCATGGAGAAAGTATGGACAAAAACCGATCAAGGGCTCACCACACCCACGGTAACTATCGTACACCCTCGTCATATCCACCGTTGATTTAATTGACCGAGTAAATAATATCTAGAGAGATCTAACGGTGGTGATTTGTTATGATTCAGGGGTTATTACAAGTGTAGTACGTTTAGAGGGTGTCCAGCGAGGAAACACGTGGAGCGAGCGATGGATGATCCAACGATGCTGATTGTGACTTACGAAGGGGAGCACCGTCACCACCAGTCCGCGATGCAGGAGAACATATCTCCCAGTTTGGTGTTTGGCTCGGCTTGAATGGTTGAGAGGATGTTGAAATTAATTAGTTTGGTAGACTTTTGTAATATTTTGAGAAATAGAGGGGGTGATTTTTGTATTTTTTTTCCTTTTTCTAAACTTTAGTTTTAGTTTTTTTAGTCCTTTGAATGGATTTTAATCTTACTACCAAAGAAGCGGTTGACAACAAAAAAAGTATCTTACAACAAAAATGTGTAGGCAAATGTATTTTTCATTTTTGATTTAGTGATATTGGTAGTAATTACCACCATTGCTCTGTCTGAACTCTGAACTATTATGATTTGTGATGGTCAATTTAGTGGAGGTTAGACATTCGAATGTGCTGTTAAAGCAATGTTTGACTATTGTGTAAATTTTAGAAAGTCAAAATGAGCTTTCAATAAGTTGTTGGGAAATATTGGAGACGGAAGTTGAATATTGAATTGAAGCTAATTAAAGCCGATTAGGGTCAACGAAATTTTAATGATGTTGGAAGACAATTAATTCGAGGAATAAATACTTCTCCGATACGTGGAATATGTGGCTGTTGGGAAAATGGGTAAACAAACCTTCATCACATTTGCTCAAAATGTTCAAAACAAGCGCTTACTTTTTTTTTTCTATGGAGTTTAAATTATAATCTTTTAATAAGGTAAAACAGTTCACAATGTCGCGCCCACTTAATTTGGTCTAGGTCTGCACTTTTGTGCTACCTCCTCCCCCATCGTTTTTTTGCTGGTTACTCTGTTCCTTTTGTAATGCTGGTTCTTTTTAGTTTCTCTTGTAAAACTCTTTTATCTATCGAAGACCTTTAAAAAAAACAGTTCACAATGTTAAGAAAATCGAAGAAGAGACAATTTAATTTCATACTTCCCAACTTTTTAAATTCCAGTCCAAGATCAATTGGTTAATAAAGTAGCAAAGAACTTAAGGTTTATTAAAACTAAACTCTCAAATCTCATAGTCTTTGTCATAACTCAAAAAAGGTATTTATAGGGTAAACACAACATAGTTTTCTTTTTCTCTAAAATAGATAATTTCCTAATCCTAATAGAAGTTGCCTCTTCTCTCTTAATCGACTTGTTAATGAGATCATTTGGGCTTTAAGCTATTGAAGCTTATCCAACATTCACCCTTTTAAACTTCAAGCTGTTCTTTGAGAGATCTTGTACTCCAATCAAAGTCCTCATCTCCTTAAACTTGATTCTTGCTAGGGCCTTAGTAAGTATATATGCGCATTAGAACATGCTCAACTTCAATTTGACTATCTTTGACGCACTCACAAATGAAATGGTAGCGCTTGTGAATATGTTTGCTTCGTCCATGAAATTCTGGATTCCTGGTGAGCTCAATGGCAGACTTATTGTCAATGTGAATGACAATCTTCTCATGCTTCCATCCGGTGACTTCACTTAACAAATCTTGTAACCATATTGCTTGTTTTGCAGCTTCGGTGGCAACCATAAACTCAGCTTCACATGATGACAAAGCAACTCTCTCTTGTTTTTGTGAGCACCATGTGATTGGTGACTTGCCAAAAAAGAATACATGTCCGGTGGTACTCTTTCCATCATCAGGATCCACATTATGAGTTATCACTGTATCCAGCAATCTAATCTCTTAATTTGAATATTAAACCAAAGCTTAGCATCCCTTGAAGATACCTCAACACTTGCTTTAAAGCAATCCCATGTGATTCTTTTGGATTCTGCATGTACCTGCTTAGGACTCCAACCGAGAAAGCAAGGTCTGGTCTACTGTGAATAAGGTACCTTAAACAGCCATTCTTCGACGATATGTTGTAGCATCGATCTCAGATTCTTCTTCTTGTCCTTTAGACAAGACTAAACCAAAATTCATTGGTATGTGAGTAGGATTGCAAACATCTAACCCTGCTTATTTTAGGATTCTTCGAGCATAAGCCTCTTGCTTAATCTCTATTATGTTTTGAGTTTGACTAACTTCCATACCAAGGTAGTAAATAAGCTTCCCCAGGTCTGACATCTCAAATTTTGTCGACATTTCAGCCTTGAAGTCGAAGATTTGTGATGTGTTTCCAGTCACAAACAGATCATCTACATATACAGCAACAATAAGAGGACCTCCACCTTCTTCTTTGCGATACACTGAGCTTTCTCTAAAATATTTCTTGAACTTCATCCCTTTCAAAATCTGATCAAGTTTTGTATTCCATGCTCGTGGAGCTTGTCTCAGTCCGTATAAGGCTTTTGAAAGTTTAGACTTTGTGATCTTCTCCCTTTCAAAACCTTCGGGTTGTGATACATACACCTCTTTGTTTAACTCTCCGTGCAGAATGCGATTTTCACGTCCAGGTGATGAATCTCCCATCCATTTGAAGCAGCCAAACCACGAGTAGACGAGTTGTTTCGATGCAAGCCACATGTGCAAACACCTCATCAAAATCGATCCCTGATTGTTGCACATATCCCTTTGCAACAAGTCTCGCTTTAAACTTTTTGATCGAGCCATCTACGTTTCTCTTGATCTTGAATATCCACTTGAGCCCAATAACTTTTGCTCCAATATGCTTATCAACAAGCTCCCAAGTTCTGTTTTTGTTGATAGATTTGATTTCTTCTAAGCAAGCATTTGTCCATTCAGCAAACTCTTTTGCTTCTTGATAGTGCATCGGTTCATTATTAATTGATAGTAGAAGCATCTCACATTCTTTATCAGCTAGCAAAACAAAGTCGTTAAAAGGTGACTAGGGCGTCGTACTATACGACTGGAACTTCTTGTCTGGAATTGATTGACCTCTTTCTCTTGATCAGTTTCTTCTTCATTGCCTTCATCAGTTTCGTCTTCATGATCCTCATCAACTTGTCCTTTGGCTTCATTCTCAGTCTAAGCATCACCAGCTTTGTACGGACCTCGTCCTTCATCCGTCACTGCTCCCCAAGTCATGTGAAACATTCCTGGTTCACACCTGATGTCTTTATCGGCTCCCTTCCAATTCCACCCTGATTTCTCATTGAAAACCACATCTCGACTAACAATGACCTTCTTAGTAATTGGATTATAGAGTCGATATGCCTTAGATCCTGACTCAGTTCTGAGGTACACTAGAGCTCTTGAGTGATCATCAAGTTTCTTCAAGTTTACAGACTTGATTTTAGCATAAGCAAGGCATCCAAACACCTTAAGATGATCAATACTTGGTTTCTTGTTCCTTAAACATTCATATGGCGTCTGATTCTTCAGGGCTCTTTTGGAAATTAGGTTAATTAGGTAAGTCGAATGACGTGTTGCTTCTCCCCACAAGAAATTTGGAACTTTCATTGCGTTAAGAATGCTTCTTGTCATCTCCATCGGTGTCATGTTTATCCTCTACTTCACCGTTCTGTTGCGGCGTGTAGGGTGCCGTAAGATGTTTCTTGATCCCTGTTTTCTCACAAAACTCATGAAATTCCATTGACGTGAACTCACCTCCTCTGTCAGTTCTAAGGGTTACGATTGCTTTGCCAAGTTCTTTCTCCACTTGTTCTTTGAACACCTTGAAACTTCCCAAAGCCTCACTCTTATCTTTGAGCACAAACGTCCATGTATATCTTGTGTAGTCATCAATGATGACAAAGATATATCTGTTTCGGGCCAAAGTAGCTGGTGATATAGGTCCACAGAAGTTTGCGTGAAGGATTTCTAATACTTGTGAGGATATATATTGTGTTGCTATTGGAAAAACATGTCGAGTTTGTTTCCCAACCAAACACGATTCATAAATCTCTTTTCCACCTTCTATCTTTGGTAATCCTTGCACCATGTCAAATGCCGACATCATCTTGATAGTTTTAAAATTGATGTGTCTGAGTCTTGCATGCCATCTCCATGTCTCTTTGCAAGCAGATCGGATTCCTAATTTGAAGATTGATCTTGTAAAGTCTGTTTGGAGATCTGAACACCTTTACCAAAAGTCTTCCACTAGGATCATGAAGTGTGAGGTAATCATGCTTCATTCTGACATCGCAACCATATTCGATGGCTTGTCCTAGACTCAGTATATTGCTCTTGAGCTCTGGAATGAAGTAGATATCTGTCACAAGTTGTTGTTCGCCTGTCTTCCCTTTGAACAAAATTGATCTTTGGCCTTCAATCTTGACACACAATCCATCACCAAACTTCACTTTTCCTTTGACATTTTCATTCAGCTCAGAGAAGAAAGATCGTACTCCTGTCATGTGATTACTTGCTCTATTATCTAAAAACCAAATGATTTCTTCCCTTTTATCTGTCTCGTATGTCTTTGGTATTAGGCTTTCTTTGTTCAGGTACACGATTTCATGCCTATAGAGATCCTCTTCTTCCTCTGTTTCTTCCGTTTCAGCCATGTTTGTCTCTTGGAGCTTTTGGAGTCTTTTCGGGCACTTTGAAGCAAAGTGACCGAGTTTGTCGCAGCGATAACAAACAATTTTCGACAGATCCTTCTTCTCTCTTGGTTAATACTGATTTGTTTGATCTCAAGAGTTAGATCGTCCTCTGCCTCTTCCTATGTATCCTCCTCTGCCTCGCGAGCTTTGTTCTGAGTTCGCATAAAGTAGTTTGCCTTGTGTTTCATCATTATTCTCCTCATCAAGAATATGTTCCTCGTAGGCCTTGAGTCTACCGATGATATCTTCAAACCCAGTTGTCTTTAGATCCAGAACTTGTTCTATGACGCAATAATGTGAATGTACTTGTGTCTCGGTAAACTGTTGAGGAATTTCTTGACTAATCTTGGTTCCTCAGTTGTTTCTGTAAGAGCCATAGATTTGGATTATCTCTGATAACTTTCCCGCAAAGTCATCAATTGTGTCCCGTCTTTCATTTGTATCCTCTCGAATTCTGACATAAGTGTTTGTAGTCTTGCCTCCTTGATGCGATCATCACCGAGATTACGAGTCATGATAGCTTCCTATAATTCTTTAGGAGACTTTTGTTCACCAACTTGTAGAATACGAGTCTCTGGAATGGATTGGAAGATTAAGTCTGTCGCGATATCGTTCTTGGTGGTTTTGGTTGATCCAGGCTCAATTGTATCCCAAACTCTATGAATTCAAAGCATGACTTTCATCCTCATAGACCATACGATGTAGTTCGTATCTGTCAGCATCAGACATTGGATCGAAGATGGTATAGATTCCTTTGGTTGCGTCGAAGGAACTATATCTCCCATCTCTGCGTATCGAATAATCTTCATGGTTGCTGTAGGTAGGTTGTGATCGTTTCTTTCTTAAGCTCTGATACCAAATAAAGTAGCAAAGAACTTAAGGTTTAAAGAATATTTCTCTTTATTAAGTTTAGAAAATATCAAAACTAAACTCTTAAAGCTTATAGCCTTTGTCATAACTCAACAAAGGTATTTATAGGGTAAACACAACATAGTTTTCCTTTTCTCTAAAATAGATAATTTTCTATTTTTAATAGAAGTTATTTCTTGTCTTTTAACCGACTTGTTAAGGAAAATTGGCTTATTCCTACTTGAACTATGAGATTATGTTAATTTTATACCCGATTTTACATACTGTGCTTAAACATTCTTAAACTTCATAATTATTTGAATTCTATACCTAAACAAGTTTATTTGTGCGTAAACATACTTGATGCCAAACGGTGTTAAGAAACCGTCAAATCATGTTGACATGGAGACCACATCAGCAATGACATTGTTTTGATTTTGTAAAATCTGAGAGAAAAAGTTCAAAACGGCACGCAGTCCCTCGGCCAAATTGTCGTCTGTCAAAAGCCACCATTTTTTTTTCCTCCATCTCCCAATCTCTCCATCAACTCTGGGCTGGATTCCTCTTCTCCGGCTTCCTAACTAAACTTTTTGTTCTCGCTCACACCTCACAGATCTCCTCTTTCTCTGTGAAATTTTGCAAATTTAACCTATTTTCACTTTCTAGCTTTGAATTTCTTTGATTTTTGTTCTCTGGTGCCCCTAATTGCTGCGACGGGATCCAATGGAGGTCTCTGCCTCGCCCGGTACCTCAATAGAAGCTATTCGACGGTGTGAAATGGAAGTGAAGAACAAAGTGTCTGCTAATTTAATCGACAATGTGGACATTGATGGAGGTCACGAGAGTGATTCAACCATTAGTAGCGTTATAAGTATAGAGGATAATTCGGTAGCTGATGTTTCCGGTCAAAATCTGAAGCTTTCCCTTCTGGATGATGCGGATGATTCGGTAAGGGATCTCTAGTTTTAAAAACGTTTTCAATTTGATTCCAAAATTGATTGGAGGGGTTTGGGAAGTTGAAGAAGCTCAAGTTTTTCAGTAACGAAATCGACCTGTTTCTGTTGGAATCATGAAATCTAGTCGATTTAGATTACCTTCAGGTGAAGCTATTGTCACCACGTTTTGGTGATGGCTTGCCGTGGGACAAGCTTATGGGTTTGAAAGAGCTCGAGATTACTAACGTCCCAAAACGATCTTCTGCTTTGACCCTCTTGAGCGAGATTTCAGGTCTTAAGTACTTGACAAGGCTCTTTGTTTGTCACTCCTCCATCCGGTCAAAGCTTCGCCGTTTATGCTCTGTAGCTTCATTTTCAGCTTCTTAATGCCTTCTTTCTTGGGCTCTGAGTTTATTTTTTTTTTATTAGCTGAGAACAAACGACATCATTTTCTCTTTTTTTTTCTTAGATTTCGCTAAATCAAAACTATGTCGTCGCTGATGTGGCCTCCACGTCAACATAATTTGACGGTTTTTTAACACTGTTTGAGTCGAGTATGTTTACGCACAAAAAAACTTGTTTAGGTATGAAATTCAAATAATTATGATGTTCAAGAATATTTAAGCACGATATGTAAAGTCGGGTATAAAATTAACATAATTTTATAGTTGAGGTTGGAATAAGCCAATTTAGGCTTTAAGCTATTGAAGCTTATCTAATAGTTAAGTGGTAAAGAGATGGGTTTGGGATGCTAACACGTTTTAATTTCGATCTACCAGCTATGTGAAACTCCAACACATTATTTTTGGACACCTATATAGATATGGGTCCTTACTTACGGTATATTTAAATACCCGGAAAGAGGATCTATTCATGGATTGCACCTCCCAGGGATTACACCTCCCAGGGATTAGTCTAAGCTTTTCCATAGGTCTGTGATTTTTTCTGAGTCATCAAAAGAAAAAAATTTGAGTTTCCAGTTTATTTTTCTTTTTAAATCTGAGTTTTGTTTTATGTGATGGATTATTTTAGAGAAATATATTAAATATTACAAGGGAAGTAAACCTACTAAATCAAGTTTAAAATTCTGAAATTAGCATAAATAATTATGTAGAATACTTATTTACTCTAGATAAATTAAAAATAAACTAAAACATTATGTTTAGATTCCCTCTTTCTTATAATTTGAACTGAGATTCACAACTTCCACTACACGAAAAACGAGTATTGATAGCACATTAACATAGCATAATTTCTATAACTGCTATTAAAGAGGATATTTCGGATTTGGATATTCTATTATAGCATTTTAAACACGTTATACCGAAATTTCAGTAAGCGGGAACAAAAAATTAACATTTAGAATCTAAATTCTGTGATGAGCGCCAGTACTTAGGCAAAAAGAAAAAAAAAATACTAAGTACCCCAATTGTGACTCTTCTTTTTATATTGTTCGGAGAAGAACAAAAACAAGTTCTTTGGAAAAAAAAAATTCTCTTTCGATAAAGCAGCTCGTTGTCCATCCGTCTCCGATTTCCTCCTCCACCGTCTCTGTCGTTGTGGCTGAACCATCTCACCACATCCTCCTTCCTCGCCTTCTTCTCAGCCTCCTTCTCCACCTCCCGTTCCCCCGACCCAGCTAACCTAAACCCTAACTCATCTCCGATTGAACCCACCTCTCTCAATTCGCCGCCGCCGCTTCCACCTCCATCCTCCATAAAGGGTATTGAAACAACTCACTGATCTGCTCAAAGTTTAATCCCTAGAGCTACTCTGCAAGAGCACAGATGTGCAATTGTAGTATAATAGGGGTCGAACCACAGAGACGAGAGATTCGCTCAATAAACCTATTAGAAATTGAATTACGCTAAGCAGATTAATGAGAAGCAAATAGCAATGCAAATAAAGATAAACGAATGCAGTAAAAACGTTTGTAAAGTTCAGATGGGTGGAGATTAGGCTTAGGGCGTTTCTCAGGAAATCAATGCATGCAGATAAATCGATAAATCAGGGTTCAGGTTTAAGCACGGTTCTTGAACTCAAATCACATAATTATAATTAACCAACTTCCGTTTTGAGAATTATCTAAGTTAAAATCCTAGAATTTCAAATTCCTTTGCAAACCCTAAAGATTTAAACCAGCTTTAATGCTCAAGTTCGATATGTTCACAAAGTATCTAAACCAAATTCCTTTGCGAATAGCTACTTTGCTCACCCTAGGTTCTTTCCAGTTATTCAATTACACTTCCGTGTCAATTAAGCAACCTAAGATCTAAGTTCTAGGTGGCCAGTCCAGAATTAGCTTTAAGAACAACCTATGGTGAAGAACTAAATAGATTATGAACCCTAACTAACCAATCAATCTAACATCCAATGAAATCCTTTATGAGAACCCTAAACCTAACAAGCAAACTACTCAGACATGGAGATTGAAGCAATAAACATGATTGAATAGCTTGCAGTAAGCAGTAAATAGATTAATAAACAGGGGTTCGAAATCTTCTCTCTTCGGAACAGAGTTTCAGACTTGTCTCCCCAAAAAACTCTCAAAAACAAAAGTTCTCTCTAAGAAAATCTCAGGTAATCGTAAAAAGGAAATAAAAACCCTATATATATCTCTAAGACACGTTTTGGGCTTCCTTGGAAACGTTTAGGCCCAACTCCTTCTTCAAATAGGAAACAAAATCGTCTTTTCCTTATTTCTTTAACAAGTGTCGCGCGTCACTCTCCATGGTGTCGAGCGTCACTAAAGCACAAAATCCATACTTGACGAATTTGATCCTGATTAAGCTCCCAAGTGCTCCAAAGTCTCCAGTTAAGCTCCAAACGTACCTAGGACCTGTAAAGACTCCAAAAGACTCGAAAGACACTAAAAAGACTCTATAAATAAGACTTATACCATGGTTAAAAACCATAAAAACCATGATATATCACTCACCCCTTTTTTCGCCTCTCCTATTCTCAAGAGCTGATTAGGGTTAACTGTAGATTTTGGGTTAGGGTTCCTGGACGGCGATGACGAGTTTCCTCTCATGAGCTTTCTTCGATCCTGTTCAAGAGGTATGGTTCTCAACACTTTGTGGGCTTTTGACATTGAGATTCTTAAATTATTCAAACCGATACTTATACTGAGGATTTCGAGACAGACCACCCAATATTCAACCTAAGGCAAATGCTTAAAACCTTCATTATGATGGCCAGTTGTTGTATTTCTCGCTAATAGCCTAATAATATGCATTATTTTCATTTTTCTTTGTTGATGTTGAACACAAAGCGTTGGCAGTTGATTCAGATGCGAGATTTATTCTTAAATGATCGCCTAACAGATCTTTTTAGTAGCTTGCAGAGAATAAACTCCTCAACATCAACTCCTTCGAAGTCCCTTGCGACAACATTATAGGACGTTTGGGTTTAATTAGGGCAGGATTCATTAGTTAGAAGCTTTTAATCTCTGGATTCAAAGTAGTGATACATAGATTGTTTAAAGCTATTTGATTTCAGTGTATAAGCGAGCAAAAGCTTAGAGATTTAGTGTTTATACACATATATGAGGGTTTGATAGAATTTTTTTTTTGATATTGGTTTGGCTTTGTAGGGACTATTTGAAGATCTCAAAGCTGACAGGACAGAAGACGACCAGGTTAGGCTGTTCCGGCCTGACGAAAACGCTCTTAGTATGCAAACAGGTGCTGATAGGCTTTGTATGACACCACCTTCTATGGAGCAATTCATCGAAGCAGTTAAGCAAACTGTACGTGCCATCAAGAAATGGAATGGGTATGGACTATGGACCAATGTGTATCTCTATTCCAATCGATATGATTCTTGATCATAGTTTGCTCTCATCTCTAGAAGCTCCTCACGGGTTTTATGGCTTTTTTTGGTGTTTTAGGTTCCTCCTCCGGGTAAAGGAGTTTTGTATACAAGGCCTCGGCTAATAGGGAGTGGCGCTATCCTTAGAGCAGCTCCAGCACCTGAGTACACGTTCCTCATTTACGCATCTCCCGTAGGAGATTACCATAAGGTGAGTTAGTGTTCTGCTGTTTTATATACTTGGTGAAATAAACTCTGCCGAAAGACTCTCTAAAGCTGAAATTGTAACGCCAGTGTTTCTTTGTTGTAGGTAAGCACAGGCCTGAAAGTTTATCATAAGTATCGTCGAGCCCATTCACTTGTTTTCAGAAGCGTGGATGCTTATTACTTTTGTTTCCATGAGATGTAGGTCACTTTAACACTTTTGTTGGAGATCGATCTGCTTATGTGTTCAGTTAGATTCTGATTTCGCTTGTGTATTGGATTAGGTGATCTGGTGAAGATGCTTTTGAGACTGCAAAGAGTTGACGTTTCTTCTTCTCCTTAATCTCATTAGCTTTTGGTTTTAGTTCTTATTCCTTCTCTCTGTTCTTGAGAGTTTATTAATTTTCTGAATTTTTTGTTTTGCAGAAAAGAAGAATAGTTGTAATATTTTGACCACGTTTAAGCAAAACGAGAGACTTGAATCAGTTTCAGTTACATCTCATCATTACAGGTTTGATTTCTTGGTCCTTTACATGAATAATACTTTGTTTAACACTCTTAAGACGATTATTATTTGCACAGTTCATCAAAAGCAGGTTTTGGTTACAATAAACTTTTCTCTAGAACAATTGGAACGTGTTTTGGATACAAGATCAAATCTGGTGGAGTTTTATATTGGACAAAAACAGAAGAGGGCAACAACTGCTGCAAAAACCGGTTGCAAGATGATCAAATCTTTTTGAGGTAATTTGTTCATTTGGATTTTGGTGCAATTCTGAAATTATACCTTTGCTTGATGACTTTGGAGAGTTACGTAAACAGATTCCCAATACATCAATATATTGTTTTGGTTTGTTGCAGTTACTGTGTGTGTTTGTTGCTTGGAACTGCAACTTATGGCATTGATTCTCTCCCAGGCTAGGCAAGCTCTTCTCACTCAAAGAATTGCTTCAGCACTTCAAGTAGCCATGATGTTAAGACCATGTTTTGTAAGACATTTGGTATGATGTTTAAGACTTGATGTTTTGTAAGACTTGTTTTTAATATGATGTTTGTCCTTGTGATGTTTTGTGTAAGACATGTTTGGATGTTTAATAAAAATAAGAGTGTTTTAAATGCAAACGCTGGTTTCTTTATAGTTTTGGAAAACAGGTCTCTCGGTTTATAATTTTGCAAAACTACAGGTTGTAATAATAAAAAAAAAGATACTAGAACACGTTAGTTATACAATAGCCCGGATAAAGTATTATAAAACAATATTCTATAGCCTAGAAAAAGAGCTATAACATGTTATACCGTAGCTAAAAAAAAGAGCTACAAGAGATTAGTCTATAGCAACAAAACTGAGCTACAAAAGTCCATATTATAGCGTCTAAAATGAGCTACTATATCGTCAATAACAACACAATTTCAACGCTATAATAAAAGTAGATAATATAGCACAATCCGAAAACGCTATTGTATAGGGGTCACCCTATTATAGCTCCGGAGATCACAGCGTTCATCGAAACGCTATTAAATCGATATGATAGCGCTAATCGTGAGCTAACAATGTACATCTTTCTTGTAGTGTTCTATGAATACATCCTCAACCTTCGTTAGACTTTTGATTCGAAGCTGTCGAGTATCAAACTTAGCCAATATGATCAACTAACCGCCCAATATGAAGCCATCTATTAGACTAGGAAAAAATAGAGTCGCGAACCCAAGAAACCAAAGTAAGCTTTAAAAAAGAAACAACTCCTAAATCAAATTATAACAAAGACCTGAGACATTTCTTTTAACCTCTAAATCCCCAATCGTGCTTCACTCTTAGAATACAAACTTAGGCTCTCAAGAAACCTTAACCTTTGCTCTTTGGCTTGGGGTACAATTCCAAAGAAATGCTCTACACATCTTTTTAATCTCATCAAAAACATTGTTCGGAAACAGAAAGACCAAACAATAAGAATTTGTGATATTGGATAATGACAGAATTAATTAGTTGTAAATAACCTGCAAAAGAGATGCTGATTTGCCCAACTAAGAAAGCAGATAATTCGAGTGATGGTTCTACTAACAAATGGTAGTCATGTGATGTCATAGTGCAACACTTAGTCTTGATTTCGAGTGGAAGACCGATATAACGATAGGAAGAATACTTGAAAATAAAACACCGACTTCCACCGTTGTAATACTTGGAAAAAAATTCCTTCGTAACTATATAATATAGTTCTTAGCACTAGAAAAAAAATCATAGTCACTAGCAAACAGAAAATATCTAGTTCACATGTTCGATCTAAACCTTAACAACATAATTAGAAACATGGGGAAAGACACTAACATTAAGGGTTAAATATATTTGGTAATTAATTAAATATAGGAAACAAAATAATATCTAAAAAAATGTTTGATAGTGTACCAATTTTAAAAACAAATTGCCTGAGGTAAAGCAAAAGAAGAAAATACCCTTTTGGAACAACTAATAGACTCAAGTTAGCCACATTTCATAAACAAAATTATCACTTAAAGAGATAAGGACGTGTTACTCTAATTGGTCTAATGATGTCCTCCATGTACACAAGTGTTGGGTTGCTTTGAAATGTATAAACTAACAACGTTTGAAAAGTTTAGGCTTGGAACATAAAATTTAGATACATAATTTTTTCTTTCTGTCCTGTATAACTTTCAGAAACTAAATTTTACTCCGTGCATTGTACGAGAGCTATTTATAATTTACAAATTTGTAATTTATTTTATGTTTTTGTTTTTGTTTAAAATAATTTTATAATAAATGATATATTTTTTTTTTGTTTGTATATAATTTGTTTCTATTGATTTATTTTTTCTAGTATATACATGAACGCGATTTCAAAAATATTATTCCAACATATCCAACATTCATATTAATTTGAAATATTATTTTGAAAGTACAATGATTATAATAACGTTATTATAATATATCTATTTATATTAATCTAAAAAATTATAATTATTAAAACATAATTATAATTTGTTCATTTATATTATTTATATATTTTATATATTTTTCTAAGTTTAAATATTAAAAAATTACTTATTCAATAAAAATATATAATAATATATTATTTTTATCTTTATCATTGAAAATATTATTTAAATTTGAATATTTAAATTAAATCTAAATTAATATCAAATTTATTATTTTTGTAAAAATATAATAATAATTTATTTTATGATTTTTGATAAATAATATAACATATATTTAAAAAATCTATAACAAATCTAAATTTAAATTTATTTTCGAATTTATTTTAAAATATAAATTAAAAAATCTATTGTTTTATTAGTATTACATTAAATTGACTTATTTAGTAACATAAATAAGAGTTATCCAAAAATAGAATAATAAAAAAATTAAGTAAATTATGTTATTCTATTTGGACACAAAACATACTTCCCTTTTAATAGTATAAGTATTTGATTGTTTTCTATTATAAATGAGATGATTTATCATTTACAAATTACAACAGACTTATCAAATTTAGTTACTTCCATTTCACGAAGCACAATTTCTTCCCATAATACAAAAATTTATGGTGGATAATTCTAGTTACACTTACACTACACTCATTATAAATAGTTTTATATGTAACAAGACTACAACAAACAATAGTTCTATATGAAATACACAACATAATGTTAGAATACAGCAAACAACTCTACTTATATATATAATACGCTTATAGAATAATATTTCACTAACTTTATATCCAAATATATAAGAAATTGCATTTTTCGAAATCAAATTCTATATCTGATGTAAAGAAAAATTAAATCTGTGATCAACCAATACATCAAAAAGTTTTCACATTATATACTGTATGGGCGCTGATATTAACATATATGAAAAAGAGAAACACACAAAGATCTGACTGGTATATATATATGTTAGATGAATAATAGAATAACAGTATAGTTGAGAAATTGTTGGCGGGACATATTGAATTGGATAAATTTTTTTACTATAAAATTGTAAACGCTGAAAAATACATTATGTAGAATGTAGATTGATCACATTTTATTTTTTCTAATTATAATTTTAACATATTAGTGTACATAGAAAATTACTTTTCAAAAACATGAAAACATAAAAAATCGATGAATAATTTGAAAACATCAAAATGTGAAAAATATACCATTCAAGTCCAAAGTATGTCATACCAAAAATCTTCTACTAATAGTAGATTAAGGACAAACCTAACAAATTTGTGATTTTAGAATACTACTTAATGCGTATTTTTAAAACCTAACTCAGCAAAGTAATTTGCTAATTAATGTAAAAATAATCCATATTCTCATTTTGGACCAGTCAAAGTTCTTGCTTTCGCACTAATCCAGCATTAGCACTCCCTCTTCCAAATCTACATTTAAAATATTTTCTTATCATTAAACGACATTGGTTTTAATTGTACTAAAAGTAAACGGGATAAGGTTTAATTTGTCCACTTGTTCTAAATTAATCATTCAGATACCTAATAGTATATTACTAATCTAATAGTTTCCATTTCAAAAATATAAAGTAAGAGTACACGAATATTTTTGTATATATTTTGACTAATTAATGCAAATCAGCATCTTCCTTGCAACCAAAAATAATCCGAACAATTACTTGATCGATCTGTTGAAGATTTCTTCCTTTTTCCTATATTTCCAAAATCCTTAAAATTAAAAACAAAATCAAGAAACATGTAAATAGTAACATTAATGGAGAATTGGATAAGGTTGAGACATGGTGTGATAGCGACCACCGAACTTTCGGTACAACGACATGATCAGATTAAACGGAGACAGTAACCCGAAACGTCCGGCAAAGGTCCGAGAAACAACCAATTAAAATTCGCCACATCATTAAGACCGTGTCAACCGTCAAAGTCGCCGTTAGCGTGTCTCGGACTATTCCATATTTAGAACATGTGCCTCATAAATAATACGTATAATTTATCCATACATACGTATTTTATACGATAGTTGTCATTATAAATAAAAATGAGAATTGATCCTTTCTCCATCTTTATTCCATTTTTCTCGATCACTGGTGTTTAAGCTTTCCTTTATTTTTTTTTTTTTTTCTGTTTATTCTCTTTCGTCTTCGTATCCCTCGAGGAAAATATTCCTTAACTTGCGCCTGTTAAAGCTCTTAACTTGCGCACATCGCCGGCGATTAATGATAATCTGATCCCGTCGGTAAGATCGTATTAAATGGAGGTTATGGTGGGTTCGTCGTTTAGAATCGGCATGGCTGCGTACGTTAGGGATCGTGGCGGCGTATCGGCGCAGGATAAGTCTGTTCCGGCGGCTCTGTTTTTGGCGGATGAAACAAGACGCGGTGGATCGCAGATCGGGATGGGATTGAGGGTAAGTAGTAAATCGCCAGATGAATCGTCGGAGGAGGATAGTCTATCGTCGATCGGAGAGAGCAGCGAAAACGAGGAGGAAGAGGAAGAAGAAGACGACGCCGTTTCGTTTCAAGAAGGAGGAGCACTTGATTCGTTTTGTTCCTCTTTAGAAGACTCTCTGCCTATTAAGTACGTTTCCTGTTTCTTTCATCAATTTATAAATCCTAAAAACAGAAAGAAAAAAATTACTAAATCAGATTTTAATCTTTTCGCCTGCAAAAACATATTTTTTTTCATATGACCAACTTGTAAAACTAACCAAAAAGTATCTATATTTGTGTTTTACTATGTTCTTGTTCTTTATGATTTAGTCTTTAGCTACCAAGTTTTGAACTTTTTAAGCAAGTTTTATCTGCTTTTACTCTGGTATGATAGATTTAAGATTCTGAATCTCAGTGGTTTGCTTTAAAACTTAAAACACAACTTTGGTAATGTTCAAAATGTCTTCTTTGAGTAATTTAGTTTGTTTTAGATTAAGATTCTGAATCTGAGATTCTGAGTAATTTGATTTAGTTTTGTTTGGTCCGACGACTGAAGAAAACATATTTGTTTGTTCAGGAGAGGATTATCAAACCATTACATAGGTAAATCGAAATCGTTTGGGAATTTAATGGAAGCGAGCAACATCAAAGCCAAGGATCTGGAGAAAGCAGAGAATCCATTCAACAAGAGGAGGAGATTGCTTATTGCTAATAAGCTAAGGAGAAAAGGAAGATCTTTATCAGCTTCACATTTCTACACTTGGCAAAACCCTAATTCCATGCCTTTACTTGCACTCCAAGAACCCAATGAAGAGGATCACAATGACGAGGACGATGATGGTGATGATCAAACTATAAAGTTGTTGGAGAAGAGGAAGATGATGATGATGATAAAGAATAAGAAAGATGATTTGATGGCTCAGACTCAAAGCTGTTTCTGTCTAAGTAGTTTGCAAGAGGAAGATGATGATGGTGGTGGTGATGATGATGAATGATCAAATTGGTAACATGTTTCTGTAATACTTAATATTAATTTGTTTTTCTCTTGTGAATTTGTTTTTTAAAAGGGAGATTAGAGATTTAGAGGAAGCTTCAGTGGTAAAAGATTTGATTTGTTAGGAATATTATTATTAATATTAATCTATTCATTATTAGCATCCTTTACGACTTTTTCTCTTGTCTACAAAATACGAAGTTCTTCATTTCTGTGAGTGGATAATCTTTAATCAGATGTTTCCACAAAGTAGTTGGTTTTAAAATATCTCTCCTTCACTAGAGGGTAAGCCGGTAAGGCTATCTATTAAAGTTGAAGTTTGAACAAAAAAAAATGAAAAAAAATATATTTGTAAGGCCAGAAGACGCAATGAAAAACCAACTTCACTTGAAAAAAAAATACTTTTACCCAACTTTGAAATGAAACCATTGTTGTACTTTGACAATGTATGCACTTTGTACAGCTAAACTTGAATCTTACGCAATGTAAAAGATGAAATGTTTTTGCAGAGTTCGGTTCGGTTCCCGATTTCGGTTCGGGTTGACCAGTGAGTAATAGCTTAACCAAAAAATAATGTAACAACAACACTCATCTTTGAAATCACGCGTAAAGCACGTGGCAACTAGCAGGTGAAAATTGAGTGCAAGCTTGAGGAGACGAAATTACCCTCCACTCAACACTGAATTCTCCGTTTTGCCTCTCACTCACTATCCCCTCCGCCACGTTAAGCCCACCGGCCACCACGAAAACCCGGTCGTCTACTCCCGTCACGGCGAAAGGACGCCGCATCGTCTTCCCGGGAAGCTTCTCACCACTCACGTACCTCCACGTGTCATCTTCGGAGGAATATACCTTCATCGGGAAATCCCCGTGCTCGGAGATCACGAACAGCCGCTCCCTGATCACTACGCTCACACCCGTCCACCCTTCCTTCATCCCGCCGCTCATCTCTCGCCACGTGTCTTCATCCGAATCGTACACCTGCCCCATCGGCGGGAACATAAAGGGCCAAGCCCATCCTTCCGTCACAAGCATCTCCTTCCCGATCACGGCGGAATCGTACTTGGCCAAAACCATCGGAAGTCTCGCCGATTCCGTCCACGTGTCACTCTCCGCATCGTACGATTCGACCGCCGTCGTCGCTTCTCCGATCCCGTCCAAACTCCCACCGACGGCCACGATTTTACCGTTTAGATTCCCGGAGACGAAGTAAGTTCTCGGACTCAACATCGGAGACGCGAATGACCAGCGATTCGTCAAGGCGGTGTAAACGACAGCAGAGCGCGTGGAATCGCCGCCGCCGAAGACGAAAAGCTTTCCCTGACGTGGAATCGACGCGCAGGAGAGCGCGTGAGGAGACGAGATTCTGGTGAATGAGTTTGGCATTGGAGGTAAGACGAACCAACGGCCCGATGCGAGGTCTAATGCTTGCCATTGAATCCTGGCCGTTGATTTGTTGAAGGCGAAGACGAAGAGGTAAATATTGGAGGAGATTGAGAGAGATTGCTTGGAGGAGAGGAATCTAGGGTTTGTGATTGTTTTGTTCCAGGAAGATGAAACGGAGCGGACAAGAGAATGGTATGGGTAAGGAAGACGAAGGAGACAAAGCTCAGCGATCTCGTTTGGTAAACCTGGGATCAAAGACTGAAACTTTGTTCTACTTTGTTGTTGATCGATGGTAGTTTCTGATTCTGCCATTGTTGTTGTTGTTGAGAAGATTTAGGAAAGCTGGAACCTTTATGGAAAAAGATGCAATTTTTTAATTTATGAATGTAGTTTGATTGATTGATGAATCGAAAGGTCGCCATTGGCATAATTGCATAAACACGAAAATGGGGAAGGTGAATGGACGAGGAGTGTCGAGGAACTCGTGTACCACATGAGTCCACGTTTGTGTCTGTGTGTATAGGAGGCAACAACTGATTTGTTTGATCCGTACGTTGAGATTAGTATATGTATTTATCTCCTAATCTAGATAGGAATAATCTACCTAATAGTTTGCACTTTGCAGCTATAGTTTCTTTAACAAGAAAATTACTAAAAAAGAGCAGCTTTTAAGATCTAATTTTGGGAAATAGTAGAGATTAGAGCTTGATGAATCAAGACATCATCAAGTATCTGACAGAGATGCAAATAAAAGAAACGTTTATAATGTTACTGATTAGCTAAATAGTGTGTGTGAAAAAAAAACTACTACTTAATTACTATAAATCATTGGTGCGAGTCTTTTTTGGTTCTTTCTTTTTCAATTTGGTTGGAACTTTGAGTCCCATGGACATGGAAGGTTCCTGGTCTGCAAAAGTTGAGAAGCAACTATTGACTCAGATAGAAAGAAATCTACATCTTCTTCTTCCTCATGGGAAAGTAGAAGTGTTAGTGAGGATGTTGCAGACATAGACGACTTTACCTTTGGATGAAATTTTAGACAACTGAAAGGGAATTGCTCGAGCAAAGAAATCAAGTTCCAGTTTTTGGTTTAAGCAAGAAAGAGTTTCATGCTTTGGATCTAAACATCAAGCAATCTCAATTCTTCCTGTCTCTTTGGAGTTGTTTTCTGATTCATTCCTTAGCCGGTGAAGATAATTTTCATGGTTAAAACTAATATGGGATATCTATAACTCAACACCATAAACTTTTGGTGTTAATGCTTCTGCAGTTATCCCCACAATTCAATAGGATCAGTCAAACAAAGACATCAACCTCATATCATGAGCTGAAATTAACTTTTTGGGTTTAAACCAATACTTTCCTACTTATTAGCAAGAACAGCTTATCATGAACACAATCACACAGGTTTTACTTCTGCGTGGCATATAATCTTCAAAGACCAACACCAAAACATATAAGGTTCATCTATTACTTCATTTGTTAGATCTTGAGAAAAAAAAAGTATAACCCAGCATAAATATATATACCTGATATCTTCTTGTTTGACTAGTCAAGTACAGTTATCAAAATACCTGAGAAGACACCCTCAGGTTACGAGTCTTATCGCCAAAACACAAGGAAAGTGCCAAATGTAGCATTTTTCTGCCTCCTATCATTATATTATCCTTTAAGGATATAAGTAAAATCAAGCCTCTAAATGAAGAAAATTCAATGATACAAGAGCAAGAAAAGGGCCAATCAAGGTTCGGAAAGTCTTGACCAATTTGAAAATATCCTTTTAGGTTATTCTGATCAGGTATGGGAAACTTAATGAAATGTTCTTAACGTTAAGAGCCACCAAACACAAGATATATAAAACCCAAAACTCTCTCTCTTTTTTAGAACTCAATTAAAGTACTAGTACATAATTTGGAAACCACTAAAGATAAATCCGTCTAAGTGAAACTTTCTAGAAATAGAAAGCAAGAAAATGGAAAGCCTATATAATTTCTAATCCACGAAACAATAAGTTACGTATCAAATCCAATTAGGTTTCCATTTACACGTGATGTTTTGATCTCTGTGATTCTAAGGAAGAGTATACAAAAAGAAGATGAAGTTGGAAGGTTACACTGTAAGCTGCACATGTATCATGTGCAAGAGTGGTTCCAGAGGATGAACTCGTGCTCCATTTTTCTGTGCTATCTTCTTCTTCATCATAAGCGAAATGCTGATTTCTTTTTCTCCTCTGTTTTCGCCGACTTCCCGTTTTAGTTCTGTAAACTATAAAAGCAGGAACGATTACAGAACAGTTCATCTGAAGAAGAGCAAATTATCATTACATAAATCTCTGGAAATATGTTGAAAGCAAGGAAGATTTGTTCAGCATATCTCTGGATACCAGAAGTGTTGTGCAGTGAAAAGTAAACGACTCAGGATGTGTTGAGCATGCCAGTATCATATCTAAGAACTCTACACAAGAGTAGCCTCATATGCATATCTCAAAACATATTCTACACTCATCTGAAAGAAACGATCGAAACAACATGTGTACTAACACTCTAACCAGCAAGATTTTTGTTTTCCTGAAGATAAGAAAAGTCCAGAAAAAAAAGAGTAATTTTCAGGGAATTCTAGGGTAAATGGTCGCAGTATAAGAAAATTGAGAAGCATTTTCATGGTGGCACAAGTACAGAGATACAACAAATGTACTAATGTTCAAGAAAAACTCACCAGAAGATGACTCCTGTGAAGTTATCTTCCCACGAGTGAGACTTGCCAGAAGATGACTCCTGTGAAGTTCATTCGCCAAGTTCTTCTGAGTTGATATCTTTTAACACTGCCTTATAGAACAACATATATTCTAACTAAAACCGTAGATATCAACCTCGTGGAATATGTGACACAACACAAGTTTGTATCTCATAATAAATCTTTCGACTATAAGAACAAACACGATCCAATCCAAAACTCAACCAAGTGAGCATCATCATAAGAAAAAGCAAAAGATCCCAACCGATATTTGACAAGAGACGACAACACGTAATGCTTGAATAGGACAAGAAGGTGAAAATATGAATCCCTTAGCTACAACATCAGATATTTTCCCTTTTATAGCGACAGATTCTTGAGAAAAGCTTTATCAATTCTCCCAATGCATTCCATTTACGAAGGATCAGATGTCCAGGTAAAGTTTATATATAAAAACTTGCATGGTAAGAGCAATAGACAGGACGCAAACAGCAGTAGAAAGCCAAGGAACAAGGCAATATTTTGTGGACTTCGAAGAAAGGGAAAATTTTCATTGAAATGAGAACAAAGACGGATGTCAAATTTGTTATTAAGATATGAATTCTAAACAATGCTAAAGCCTAGGTTACATACAGAGTAAACTGCAGCTATTACATGATTGACATTGTACCTTGAACCGACATAATAGCACAGTATCTCTGCAAAACTCTCTCCCCAATTCCCTTATTGACCTCGGGTATACACACAAAGCTCGAATCTCTTTGAAATTGCCAATTTCTTGTAATCTTACAACATGACAACCAACAACACGTATCTTTATACGGTTCTTTGGGTTTAGTTGCATTATGAAATAATTTACTAACCTGCTCTGAGTCTGATGCTGCAGGATCATAATGATGTGCTTCTCAGCTCAGAACTCATAACTTCATCTCTTTCCGTTCCATCTTGGAACTACACAGTAAAAATCTTTTTGGCATACAAAATTTGATTGTCCCCTTTTGGACAAGAGCAGGCTGAATCAGACAATATGTAACATCAACACGCATTCAGAAGGTTTCTTTCACACCTCGAAGTCTTGTTCCTCGAAAGACCGCATGGAAATTCTCTCTCGGAGAGTTGGCCAGTTTTCGCCAAGCTGCTGTGAATTTAACTCCATGGCAGTTCTAAAATCAAGCAGAGACACGGAATGATGATCTTGTGTTATGTCAGGAGGTCCATTCGGAGTTTGTATTTTCAAACTGTTACTAGGCCAAACACCATTTACCATCTTGCTTTGACTCTGCTGCTTGTCTAAAGTTTGTTTCCCGGGATCTCCATTTGTGGATCGAGCTCCAACCAAATCAACGCAAGATTTGATCAGCCTCTTTAGATACACATCCAACATGCTATTCAACGTATTAGCACACTCCATCGAAACCCCTCCAAGACCCTGTGCTATTGCAATATTCTCCATCCTTTTCTTTAGCATCTCTGTGTCTGGTAATCCAACACTGTCTTGGCAACTAACTACGTCAGAGCTGGTTGAAACCGGAACCGTTCTACGTGACCCACCGACACTAGCTGAACAAAATGGTATCCCTAGAGGTGCAACCAGAGGACTCGTTGTTAGTTCTAGCCTAGCCTGCTCCTCTTGATTCTCATCATCTCTCGTAGCCGCTGTTGCAACCTGATCTTGATTTGGTAATCTCGGTTTTTTAACAGGACGAAGAAATTCACCATCTCTTTCATCAGGAGCACATCTGCCTGATCTTTGATCATCAGATTGACTCACATCCCCGTTTTCCATACCAACACTACCTCTATTATCTTCTCTACATATTGGCTGATGCAACATGTGTTCAACCTTCCCATTTGAGCCTAGTGGACTATCTCTGATCTTCCTGTCACGCATTCCAGACCTGACTTTCCGCGGAGAGATGGGCAAAACCCCGTTGGACCAAACAGGATCATTCTGATTAGTATGGTTTGGGACTAAAGATCCACTTTTTTCAGGACCATCTCCTTTACTCTGACAAGCATTCACCCAAGGTTTGGTCTGATGACCGGTTTCTTGAACACTTGGCGGGGACTTGGCGACAGTTGCGTTTCTCAAGATTGAACGGATCAACTGGTTGTGTATAGAGAGATTCTCCCTCCCTAACAGCCTAAAACACGTCTTATCAAACTCGCTCTTAGTAAGCTTCTGACTCAGAAACCTGCCTAGGTAATAAAAATACCTTTTCGATTTTTCAACCCCAATCTTCTTCACTATATGACCTTTCAGTTCACCAAGATTAACCCTCTGATCTTGAGAACGTTGCATGATTACTCTCACTTCTGTATCTAAAAGAGTAGTTTTTCTTCTACACCAAAAACCAAAATGAAACAGAGTGAGTGCACACAAACGCACTCTCTCAGCTTCTATTGTCCTTCACACAAATGCAAAATTGGAAACAAAAATCCAAATCCTTGAATTTAAGCTCTTCCTTGGCAAATCCCAAATCCATACAATGCAAAGCCAATTCTCATCTCCTCAAGAACCAAAACCCTAGAGATCATATCAACAAGCCACTTCACACAAAAGGCCTCAGATTTCAATCCTGCTGATTCGTTATTAGTATCAATTATTAAAAACCCAAGCTTTAGGTCACCAAATCACTTCCCTCTCGAGGAAGAAACAGCGCAACGAGCCTCTTCGCCAACTTCACGGAAACTGCACCAACAAAGAAAGACTCAACATTGTCAAGCCCAATTTGGAAGCTAAAAACTTGGGAATTTTCGGAATTTAATAAGAGTAAATCGAGATCAGTGAAGTCTGAAAAAGATCCAAGCTTTGGGAACAGAGCAAAAGACACGAATTGGGTAACCAATAGAGGAAAAAAATCGAAATTCGAATTGGAGAAGGAGCAAGCAAGGCAATGAGGAGCGAGAGGAAAGCTTATAAGCAGGAAAAACAAGTGTTCAAGATTGAATTCGCGACCTAACTCAAGCAAACGATTGACCAGAATTTCAGACAAATAAAAACGAGACAGAAGAAGTAACTTCTGACCAAACCTAGAATGATTCTTCTCCGGTTCAGAACTCGTGTTGTATGGCTTCGAATCTCGTCTGGATTCTCCTCGTGGCTTTGAAGTATTGCCGTCGGATTTGAATGTATGAGCTTTTCGCTCTTCTGTGTGTGTTAAAAGCTTCGATCGCTGCTTATTGGGTTTCCTTAGTTTTCCTTTTTTCTGTCTTAATTTTTGTTTTTAGTTTTTCCTCTTCTCTTTCTCTCTCTGCAAACGTGTTCTATTTCATCATTTTATTGGTAATTAATTAATCAATAGGTTTCCACTTTTTATTAGGAACTTTAATTAATTTTCAAATCTGTTATAATTTAAGAGTTTCGGCGCTTGCTAAATAATATTGATATATAGAAATGATTTGTTTTGTTTATTTTTTGCTAAAAAACAAAAGAAAGAGTTAACTTCAATGTGATATTGTTAACAATTGGATTAATTTGTCATATGAATATATTGAATTACAAAGTAATGGAAATAAAAGTTTCAAAATTAGAAATTAACAATTGATCATCTAAAATTTTTATAAGCTCAGGCGCGGGAAACAAACCACAATCATGTTATTAGCAGATAATTCGTTTCTAAAAAATTACAAACCACAGTCATATTATTTTGTTTATACAATATTAATATACACACACTTTCTCCATCATTGGATTTACTGTTGTTGATATGATAACAAATATAGTCTTTGGTTGTTACAACTTCAAAAGTAAAACTCATTATCTTAATCTAAACTAGATACTACATACTAGTTCCAACTTATAAAATGAAGCCACAAACTGTTTGTGGACAAATCCTAAATAAGCCAAATAGGTTTTTCAATTAAGGTTAACAATCGATCCAAAAGTCAAGTTTAATCCTTATATTCCTTATTATGTCTTGTTAATTGTTTTATAGAAAGAAGATTCACAAACATTCATGCATGTATTAAAATAGAAAGTTGACGTGAGAACTGAGAAGTGACAAGTTATTTGTCACATCTAAATAATAAATAATTTAAGTGATATCATTTTAAATTTTAGTTTACCAGCTGAAGATGATAACTATAGACAAAACTATATTTTATTCAAATTTACTTTAACAAATCAATCTTATAAAATAACATTTAATTTGTAAAAGTGAATATTACTGTCCTTTTGGCTATGTGTACTTGGGAGAAGTATACGGCGGTTCAACCCAACAAACCAATCTCATTCTGATGTCACAAAGAACAAAAAGTGCTCCAAATCCAAGTTTTTAAATACCAAATTTTAGTTTCCCAATTGTATGAATCCAAATCTTGTCAGCTGACTCATATCTTGTTTTATGCAGTACAGTGTGCAAATTTTTTTTAATATTCATTTATGTGTGTGTATATATTAATTTTTATAAGTATGAATCTCTATCCAATTTTTTACCAACAAAATATTAATCCAATCATAGTAAAGGAGTAAAAATTATCATTTAGTATCATCCCTTTTTGCATAAAATTTTAAATTTATCATCAAATATTTTAATGATTTTTTTTGAAAATATGTGTTAAGTAATTGATAAATTTTCATTAAGATGCTGAATAAATATAGATCTAGTTTAGATCTTCACTTTTGTTGTATCACTCATTCAAGTTTCTAGGATTTTAATTTAATTTCCTAAAAGGCTAGCTAAAACTATACAAAATCATTTAAGTATTAGTTTACTATTTATTTTATTTAAAAAAACCCTTCAAGTTTAACAATTTACCATAAAAAAAAAAATTCCCAGTATCCACTGCATAACTTAAACTAATTAGAATAACTCATAATGCCCTCCAAACCATTGATATTGTAAGTTATTCATTTCATATCGAATCAATTATGCTCGATCTTATTTTTCAAAAATAAAAAAAACACATTTGTGAACTTTCCATAAACCATAAACTAAAAAGGTAAGCAGTTACAGTTACCAACTCAACAGTACAAAAACCAACGATCCTAAAAAAGCATTGAAACAAGGTGTCTTTATGATCTTCGACAGTTAAAAGACAAAAGATGGTAAGATTATACACCTACACAACTTTGTTTTTGTTTCTAAACTAATAATAACTTTAAAAGTGACCAAAGTAGATCAATTTGGTTTCACAATCAAACTTAGACTGTGTAATGTTGTTGAATCGTGTCAATGTCAAGTCCTTTAAGCTTCACCACTGACTCTACTTGTCCTTTTAATGTGTTTAGCTCTCTCAGCCTGCACATATCATCAAATCCACATTTCATCAAAACCAAATCGGGTTCAGATCATGTATGATTATGATAAGTGATTTAGTTTTTACCTGGCAACCTCAGCTCGGCGTTTGGCCTGTTCAGCGATCTCAGAGAGCTCGCTGTAACAATTCTTTTCATTGAAGATGTTGTTTGTCTCAGGTGGTTGAAGTCCATGGAGGGTTCTTTGAGCTGCAGCCCATTGAGCTTCTCTTTCCTCTCTACCATAATCTTTCTTCGTCGTGAAGGCAGTCTGTTTTTATTACATACACGGAAAACAATATATAAGAAGCCAAGATGCACAGGTTGTGATGTGATGGTTTTTTGGTATTGGTAAATGGTAATCGATACCTTGTTGTCAAGAAGGTTTAACCAAGCTTTGCCACTCAAAATGTAGCGGATCGCGAATTTGAGTAAGTCGAGAGGGATGTAAGTTATGAGACTGTACAGCCAGATCACTCCAGCCCATCTCCAACCTACTCCTTCTATCCGCGCAAAACTCCAGTTCGCATAAACCGCAATGAATGTCGCCACCTGAGAAAGCCACCATGAGCTTCTTGTTCTGTTTCTTGTGAAGAGAGTTTTAAGGGCAAGAGAATTTGTTATATTATATACCAGTTGAGCAATGAAAAATGCACCAAGCAAGAGATGACCAGGGCGTTCAACGTAGGACCAGCTCCGGGATCTGGTGACGAAGATGAGAGCCTGACTTATGATGCTAACTTGTAGATACAGTGCAGCCATCATTTGTTCAGGACGTTGACTCAATGGTCTCACACCAAACTTGTTCTACATAACCCCCACAAAGAGTTAGCTTTTTGAGCTGGCCTAGAGAAGCAACTGAGAATAAGAGTATATACCGAGAAAATATCAGTATCTTTCATCGCCCAGAAGAAAACGACGGTCATCAAGGCCTGATAGCCTCCAAATACGACGCCGGTCGAGAAGATTTCTATGAGTTTCCAGCTATCTGGCTGTGGAGATGGCTTCACCCTGTCCTTTGATATTGTCAAGATTGTTCCTATAATTAGCAATACTTTTGTTAATTTTATGGATTATTCACTATTATATCCAGTTATACTCTATAATGTGACCTCACCGTCATTTAAGATTGCCATGATCAGGACCATGAAAGGCGCGAAATCGAACTCCCATAAGAGAGCAATGAACATGAAGCCAAACTGCAGACATTGAGGAAACTTTACATTATTATTGAAACCATTTCAACCAAAGGAAATCTCGTGAGATGTACCAATTACACTTACCACGATACGTATCGTGATTGAAACCGCATAAATCTACACAGAAAAACAAAATCAAGGTTGGATTTAGTGAATCAGTTAATGGACAACAAAAAACAGTGAGAAGACGTTTTAACTCACAGTGTAGTTTTTCATTCTTTGGAATATGGCTCTACTAGCGAGCACTGCACTAATGATAACGCTCAATCCAGGTTCTGTGAGAACGATATCAGAAGCTCCTCTTGCAGCATCAGTAGCATCAGCAACAGCTATACCAATATCTGCCTTCTTCAGAGCCGGGGCATCATTAACACCATCTCCAGTCATACCACATATGTGCTTCCTTTGTTGCAGCCTACTTACAATCTCATACTTATGTTCTGAGATTTTTCACGCACCGGTGAATCCATCAGTAAGAATCTGGACATGTATTAAAATGTGCGGTTAAAGAATAAGCCTTCTATTAAAGCGAGAATACCTGGAAAGACTCCAGCAAATCCATCAGCCTTCTCGATAAGTTCATCAACAGGACCCAAGGAGGAATCTTTGTCTTGCCCGAGCAGCGCAGAAGAATGATACATGTTCGTACCCATTCCAAGCCTGCGACCGGTTTCCTTCCCAATTGCAAGCTGGTCCCCTGGTTTCAATGAGAAGGGCAAGCTAGTTTCAAGCAAAATATAGTGCAGAGAGGCAAGGATCAACTCAATAAAAAATTGTGTGATTCTTACCGGTTATCATCTTGACATTAACACCGAGGTTTAACGCCCTTCTGATTGTCTCGGCACTGTCATGTCTCGGAGGATCAAACAGAGGTAAAAGACCTACAAGTTGCCATGGACCTCCAGAAGCATCTTTCTTCTTCTCAGGAACTTCCTGCACCAATAAAGTCCATATGAGAACACAACGAAGACACAAGGACACAAGAAACATCACGAGAATGTATAAATAACCGAGAACAAAACCTGTCTTGCAACAGCCAAAGATCGAAGTCCACGCTCAGCAAACTTATCAATCACTCCATGAGCTTTCCTCCTAAGATCTTCCTTACAATTGCAGAGGTTTAGTATCTGCCAATGAAAGATCATTTAGATCGTTAGCCAAACATGTGACTTGAACAACATATCAAAGCTCGGGTTCACCATACCTGCCCAGGAGCTCCTTTGCTAGCTCGGTGCCAACTTCCATCAGAGTCTATATAAGTCAAAGCGGTTCTCTTATCCACAGGGTTAAAAGGAAGGAAATGAACCTCTCTGACACCAACTCGAGCTTCTTTTGGATCAGAAAGCATTCCAACAATGGCTGCATCAATGGCATCTTGATTCTCAATCCTCGAGGCTCTCGCAGCCAAAAGGATAACATGTTCTTTATCAACCCCTTTCGCAAAAACATCCACTAAGTTCCTATCAACGGTAAGCTTATTCAACGTGAGGGTTCCAGTTTTATCACAACACAGAACATCCATACCCGCCATTTCCTCGATCGCAGTCATCCTCCTAGTGATAGCTCCTTGTAGAGACAATCTATGAGACCCAATCGCCATCGTAACAGATAACACAGTAGGCATAGCGATAGGAATCCCTCCGATCAACAAAACGAGAAGGTTATCGATTCCGTCGCGATACTTACGGCGTTGAATCGGATACATCACGAGGAGCTCGACGATGATTCCTAGGGC